CCCTGGTCCCACCCTTTCTAGTCACACTCCTCAGTGTCCTGGAATTTCCCCACTCCCCAAGTCCCATTTCTCCAGCTCTGGACCTTAGCATGTTCTGGTTATGAGCCCGGCCTCGTGTGATGCCCTCACGCACACGCATACACACATCGATTGCCAGGGGCCCTCAGTCAGAAAGCTGGTCTCTACCCCATCTGATCTCCCATGCCGTCAAAGCAGGACCACTGGGTCATGAGCTTGGTACCTGGTAAACTCGCTGCCTTCCAGTTGGTACATGGCATGCATCGATGCCTTGCAGGGAATGAGCAGCATCTTCAATCCATGACTCCACGAGCACTCAGCAGTACTACTTGGCCAAGCCAGCCCTCTCCCCCACAGAACTCCCTCAGCCACCTGCCTCAAATGCAGCTCCGCAGCGATGGACTCCTTGCACCTATCCTGCAGCTTCCCGAGGGCCCGAAGGCTAGCTTCACTTTGCAGGAAGTACGTTCTTGCCAGGGAGGCCTGGCCTAGGCAGGGCTGGAAGGGGGTTGGGATGTCCAAGGAAAGAGTTGGCGAGTTGCCCGACTTCATTTCCCCATCAAAGACAGTTCCTGGTTTGCCATAGTGTGTTTATTACATGATTACAGTTCAAATAATAATAATAATAAAAAAACCTAAATTCTTGGCAGGAAGGCCAAAGCCAAAGCCACTTCCTGGTCCCCAGCCTCCATGTATGGCCAAACCCAGCCAGCTCACTAACCCAGCTTGACTCGATCAAGCTCCTCACTGAGCGTTTCATCTGTGGCCTGGGCCGCTCTGCTGCTTTCGCTGGACGCCGGGTCCTGGGCCCTTGGTCCCGGGGCTTTGGTGAGGGCTCCGTAAACACCCATAGCCTGAGGGAGGAGAGAGACCATGAGGAGAGCTGGCAGAGGGCATGGACCAACCCACCAATGACTGTTAGACAGAGGCCTTGTTTTCTCTTTTCTCCCTCTTTGTCAAGCCTCAGCCCGGGTGGAACAGTGGATTCTGTATTGGGTGCTAACCACAAAGTCAGTAGTCTGCACCCCTAAGTGGCTCTTTAGGAGAAAGACGAGGCTTCCTGCTCCCGTATAGATACAGCCTCGGAAACTCAAGGGGGTGGTCCGACTGTCCTACAGGGTCCTCTGACTAGAATGGGCTTGACGGCAGTGAGTCTGTCTACTTTTTGTCTTGGAGTTTTGGAGTTAGGTCTAATAATTTTGGCAACAATCTCCCAAAGCAGAACCCGTCATTTTGCTGGCACAGCTGTCCATGAAGAGGCGCCTCAACATTCCTAACGCCCGGAGTAAGGAGGGGGTTCTTAGTGATTTATCCTGCATAGGGAAAGGAATTGGGGGGTGGGGGTGGGAGGGTGACGACGATGACGACATCTCAGGGCGCAGAGCTTTCTGCAGGCCTCTGTGGGTATGAGCGGTGATGGTGATGTTTCTGTCCCTGACACTGGTGCTCTGTCCCAGGCCCTGAGGGAACTCTAACCTGGGCCACCATACTGGTGACGTCACCGGGATTGGAGGGCAGGAGGATGGTGTTGGAGTCCTTGGCCAGTTTGGAGAAAGCGCTGACATACTGCTCTGCCACAGTCAGTGAGGCCGCTGCATCTCCGTTCTGTGGCCAGAGGGGATACAATTAGAAATCACACTCTGTGTGGCGGGGGTTGGGGGGTGGGAGGGGAGAAGTGTCAGGTTCCTGGGGAGAGGGTGTGCACATGTCATAGGGGTCAATGGAGTTCACAAAAGCAACCACTCCCAAGGTTAGATGGGGGAACCCCTTCCACTGCCGGTTGCTCCCCCCCTCCACCCCAGGGCCTCTCACATGTTGTGTCAGAGCCATAGCTAGGATGCGAATCGCTTCGGCCTTGGCCTTGGCCTTGGCTAGAACTGCATTGGCCTCTCCTGGAAGAAGAGACACAGAAATTCCTGTCCCAGCACCAACCCGCAAAGACCCAGGCCTTGCTCCTCCCTCCGTCTGCACTCCGCTGACCTGCTGCCTGATTAATTTGCTCAGCCTTTTCTGCCTCGGATGCCAGGATCTGGGCTTGCTTCTTCCCCTCTGCCACATTGATGGCCGACTCTCGGGTCCCCTCAGATTCTAGAACTGTGGCCCGTTTCCGCCGCTCTGCCTCCACCTGGAAGCCCCCAGCAACCCGTCAACAAGAAGCCAGGGGAGCTCTGACACCGACTTGCAACTATATATACCCATCCCATCAGGAAAGGGAGTCCTGGTCCCCCTAGCATCGGAGGCCTCAGAGGTCTTCTCGACCCCCTGTGGACCCCCACCTGCATCTGCATGGACTCTTTCACCCTGGGCGGCACGTGGATGTCCTTGATTTCATAACGGAGGCAGCGGATGCCCCAGCAGTCAGCAGCCTGGTTGATGGCATCCACGATGTTGGAATTCAGGGACTCCCGCTCCTGGAAGAACAGAGGTGTAAGCTCCACGGCCTCAACGGAGGCTCCGGGCCGATTACGATGCTCCGGAAGGACTGAGAGTGCTAGGCACATGTCTTCAAAGGCGGACTCTGGCTCAGACTCGTACCCGGAAGACTTTGTCCAGGGAGAGTTTGCCCAGTTCGGATCTCATGGTGGTCTGGGCTAGCTGGGTGACAGCGTATTCAGGGTCTTCCACACCATAGCTTGCCTGCAAAGGGGCATGGAGAGTGTTAAATAGTCTGAGCAGGGAGTTTTTCAGTGAGGTGGGCAACTCAACAGGGGGACTAACGCCGGGGGCGGGTACCTTGTAAGGGTCCATGATGCGCAGGTAGAGGACTCCATCGATCTGCAGAGTTACGTTGTCTACAGGAGCAGGGGAGCAAGGGGGAAGGTGAAGGCTCTAGGTTCAACGAGCTGTTTTTTCAAGCTCTGCATCTCCACCCACACATCTTCACGGTGGCAGCACACCCGTCACCCTGAGTCCCTCACCCACCCAGAGTCACGGCTGACTGCTCGGGCACGTTGATGACAATCTCCTTGAGACTCTGCACATATCGGATCCGGTCCAGGATAGGGATGAGGATGTTCAAGCCCTGGGAAGAGGAGTCATTGGTCTTCAGAGTAATGGGGAGACTATCTGCGATGGAGATCCAAGCTAAGCCTGGAGTGGGCAGGGAATCATCAGACGGTACATGCCCAGAAAAGCCTGAGTCCCAGTCGGGACAGAAGTCTTAAGTGGGTTGGAAACGCTCTTACCACGGGGACGCCCAAGAAAAAAGGAATGTGACACTAGGAGTCAGCAAAGTAGCATTCTCTAAGCACACAGGTAGGGTTGTGGGGGCGGGGATTCTCAGGAATGGCCGGTGGGGTGCTATGTCAACCGGCAAAGGCAACATGGGACGAGGGTCTGTGTTCTATCAGGTTGGGCCCGGGTTGTCGGGGTAGGCGAGGTCTCTGCCCCCCCTCCCCCCGCCCACGTCCTGAAGGAACCCGGCATCCGACTGGCCCGGGTGCGCTCAAGAGAGGCTCACTGGCTCCAGGATCCGGTGGAATCGGCCCATTCGCTCCACCACCCAGGCCTCCTGCTGCGGCACGAACAGCACCACGGTGTTTCGGGGCAATCCCGAGGAGGCGCGGCGCGGAGCCCGCAGAGAGCCCTAAACGGAAGAGGAGGGTGAGCAGAAACCCCGGTCTGCAGGTCCCGTCGCACCCCGTGGTCCTCGGGCAGGGGGATCCACGTGGTCTTAGAACCATGACCTCTGACCCGTCTGCTCCCCAAACTCAGCAACTCGCTCTTTCCCCGCCTGGGATGCAGGGGACCTCCGACTCGACCCCTGGAAGCCGGCGGCCTTGCTCTCACCCTCAGTAAAAGGCCCCCAGTCCCCCACGCCGCGCGCGCCAGCATTTCCTAGGGCCGCCGAGACCTCCGGAACGAACGAGACGCGGAGCGGAGCGTCTCTCTAGCGAGTCCTTCCCCCCGCAGCCCCGCCCCCGGAAGTACTTCCGGCCATCCCTTCCCCCGTCGCACAGCCAGCCAATTCGAGCTACTTAGCGATGGGAGCATCAAGTTGTTCCCTGAGAAATGTCGACCTGAAAGACAGAGATCAAGGTTGGAGTTTGAGGCAGAGTTCCTGGGCACGGTGGCCAAAATGGAGGTCATTTCCTGTCGGCCCGTGGTCCCCCCAAATACTTTCCACCGGGTTAGTTATCCCCACCCCAAACTGAGTTTACCCTCTGGGGTATAGGATTGCCCCATCTGTCACCATAGCGACCAGGGGACTGAGGCTGACTCGTGGCCATGGTTGCCATAGTGACATGCTCGGGTAGTCCTGCTGTGTTCTACCCAGCCCTCCCCCTGGGGACTGACCCCATTCGCGTTGCCATAGTGATTGGGCCCTGCATTGCCTGGTGATTGGACCCAGACTTTCCCCTCCCTTCCTTTCCCAAGGCACCTCAGCCCTTTGCACATTTTCCCCCATCATGGGTCGTCAGGCTTGGCCCCTTTGCAGAGTTCCAGCACATAGCCCCAGTGTTCAGCCCTGTCTGGTACATGTCACTCAGCACCCACCCCTGATGCCCTGGCACATCCTTGAAGAGGTCTGTCTAGTGGCCGTCGTTGGACATGAGGTCACTGAAGGTACCGGGACCAGTCATCAGAAACAATCGGTAGAAGAATCCAGATCCACATTAAGAGTCTAGTTTCTCTGGCTGGCCCAGACACATCCCTTCCCCACCACCCCAGCATATTACCCGAAAGAGCAAAACCAGGCCTACCTCGAGATCTTTTGCCACCTCTCTGAAAAAGAGGGACAATCCCAGCTCCAGTTAGGCCCTCCATCCCCTGCCCATTGTCTCCCCAATAGAAAGCAGGGCTTGGTTCAAGTTTCCAAACAAGAATTTATTTATTTATTTTTTTCCTAAAAAAAAGTACCAGGTACAATTTTTTTTCCTGTTATTTTTCAAGTTTCAGCAAATGCTTGTTCCCCAGTCCAACCCCAGGAGTTTAGTGCTCAGGCTGGGTCAGAGTCTGGTGTGGGGAATGGGGTAGTTGGGAACCACATGATTAAGTTTAAGGGGTGCCCCTCACCCCACATGAGGTAGGTGGGTCAGAATCTGGCCAGGTGAGAGGAGGCATCCCCATCCTTAGCCCTGACTCTGCCCCTGGACACCTTCCTCAGTCAGGACCCCCAAACTAGGAGACCTAGGCAAGAGAGGGGCAGCTGGAGTGTGAAGCCCTAGGAAAGGGGTGGTTGACCTCCATGTGTACATGCATGCATGCACACTCTCACATACATACCCCCCCCACACACACACACACGTGTATGGTGGCTTTCCGAGAAGGGCCAGAGGGGGAGAACAATGAAGGGAAGGAGAGGAGAAGCTGAGTGTTTGGCTACTAACTCAGTCCCTCTGGGGTCCCCTCTCTGCCATCAGCTGGGAGAGAATCAGTTCTCCCACAGCCCCTACATGAGCCTCTTCAACTCCTGAGGTTGGAAAAATAGATGGGAATGGGAAGGGAGGAGGGGCAAAGCCAATGATCAGGTTTCGGAGGTCACCACAAGGCAATCCAATTTGAATAAATTATAAATAAAAAATAAATAAAGTCATAAGTGGCCCCTGCCCAGGACAGGGAGGCAACGCTGGCATGACTTGCCTGGGAACTTGGGACAATCTCAGGTGGCTCTCGTCCCTCTCCACCACTGGAGCTGGCCTGGGAAGCCCAAGGGAGGGGACCGGCATGAGGAAGACCCAGAGTAGGGCAGGGTGGGGTAGGGCTTAGATGCTTTCAACACCCAAGTAATCAACTCGGGCAGGAGCATGGCGAGTGCTTTAATTCCCGCCTGAAGGGTCTCTCGCCACCTCTGCGTGTGTCTGAGACAGCACGAGCTGGGCCGGTGGATGGCCCGCATGGGTCCAGAGCGCTGACAATCAGGGCAAAGGGGAGTAACAAGGGTTGTGCGGGGCCTCCGTCATGGCCTGCAGTTCGTAGGGGAGCCCCGTGTCCAGCTCCAGGCTCCGGCGAGAAAAAAGCAGGCGGATGTCTCCATGCAGGCTTAAGCGACCTGAGCGGGAGCTCCGGAACCTGGGGGAGGAAGGTGTAATCAAGGGAAGACCCCAGATCGTGAAGAAGCAAAGGGGAGAGCCCATTTAGGCAAAAGCTACCTGGGCTTCCTGAGTCCCGCCTCCGCCCTTGCCCTTACCTGAGGTGCAGCAAGTAGCAGAGGAGGCGGCGGGTGGGGCTAGCATTTCCCTCCTCACCCACAGGGACCAAAAAGAGGCGATGGCGCAGGAAGGTCATGTGGGCAGCAGGCATGTCAGAGAAGTCAAAGGTCACGAGGAACATCTTCACCACAGTCTGGTTGGGGTTAAATAAGGTCTGGGGATAGGACAGGGAAGGTTGGTAGGGCCTAGGGGCAGACTTCCTCATTCCCCAGTCCCGCTCCCTTCGAGGAAACTCACCACTTGGATGGTGCCCACCTTGGGCACGCTGTAACCCTTCCTCCCCAGGGGGTTCAGGTCCACGACGCCCTGGGAAGGCCATGGAGCCATCAGCCATCAGCCCTGCATGCTCCTCCTCCTCTCACCCTGGGACCTGCCCCCTGCTCCGTGTTAAAGTCTCCCCACCTGCTCCTGACTCTCCTGGAGGAGGAACCTGTAAAGGACGTGTCCTACCCTGAACCCTCATTGTGTGAACAAGGTGACTTTGAGGCAGGGTCAGGCGTACCAGGAAGGGGGCCGGGGCATTTTGCTCAGACACATCAAAGAAGGTGACAGTGACAGGCAGCGTGACATGCTGGGGGCAGTAGGACCCACTCGCTCCAATCTCTGCTGTGAAGCCCTCAATGTGACCAGATGGTGCAAAGCGTCCTCGAAGCAATGATTCCTGGGTTGGGGTGGGGGTGGGGGCGGGGAGAGGGAGGAGAAGAAACACATTAGGAGATATCCCTAGCCACGTCCCCTCATCCCACTGTCCCCAGGACCCCCCCAATCACAGAGCCCAAGGGGAGCTACCTCAAAGTTGCCCAACAGGGTACGGCTGACGGTGGGGGTAGGAATGGGGGAGGCACTGGGGGGGCTCAGCAGGCCTGGTCCCTTCCGGAGGCTTCGAAGGGAGCTCCTGGTAGGGGAGGGGGACACACGGTGGGCTGGTTGGAGATATTCTGGGATGCCTACTTATGCCCTTGGGCCCCTCCCTATGCCCCTGCCCTGAGGTCCCCTGCCCCAGGGTCAGTCAGAGGATGACAGACTGGTGGCCCCATTTCTCAGTGAAATTCAGAGGGAGAGCTGGCCACTTACAGCTTCAGGCGACGGGCACCTTTCAGCCTTTGCCCTAGAGGACTGCAGTCCGTTGGGTCCTGTGGAGAGGAAAGCAAGGATGGTGAAGGCCAGCTGGGTTCCAGGCTCACTACCACCTCTCCCAGGCACATCTCCCATGGGTACCCCTCAGCTATCCCCCTGGAAGGAGCTGGCTTACCAGCGCAGGCTCCTTGGGCCCAGGCAGCAGGTGGCTCCAGAAGGGTGTGGCTTTGGCATCAGAACTGTTGGCAGCAGGAAGGTGGCCCAGGATTCCCCGGCGCCTCCGAGGGGCTGGCCCCTCATCCTCAGAGTTGACGTGCGGGGCTTCTCCAGCAGGAAGCAGCCTTCGCTTGGTGGGGCAGGGGCCTGGAGGTCCAGGGCCAGGGGGTGTGTGCTCGGGACTGTGCCCATTGGCAGTGCCAGGGGATTCCCTAGGCCAGGGGCTACTCCCATTGTCCACCCCAGTCACTGGGCTCTGACCCCCTATGTGTGCAAGACTGTGCAAATCAGTGTCAAGTGTGTGCAGGTGGCCTGGAGCTTGCCCTGGAGGCTCCCCCAAGCCCCCCTGCCCCGCTGGGTCTGGGGAAGCCCAGTCTCTGGTGTGCAAAGTATTGCAGGAAGCATTGGATGGGACCCCTGAAGTCCAAGGTGAGCTGGAGCTACCTCCCTCTTCTACCACACAGAGGCCATGATGGGAGAAATGCTGGCTGGCCACACCCAGTCCCAGGCCTAGTCCCTCAGGGCCCAAGAGCCCCACAGTAGATGGTTCTTCAGGAGGTAGTCCCTCTCTGGCCCCCAGCCCAGGGCCTCTCTTCAGCTCCCGGGAACCCTCAGTGGGAGGGGCTGGCCGCTTCAGGGCCCTATGAGGCTCAGGGACACCAGCTGGAGGGGAAAAGATGGATACCTGGTAGACCCCGGGGGAGGTCGCCCCCCCTGCTGGGCTGTAGCCCATGAGCAGGCCACCCTGGAGGGCCCCCTGCCTGGCTGGAGGCTGTGAAGGGCCAGCCTCTGGTTCTGAGGATGAAGACGGCTCCGCCTGCACGTGGCGCATGAAGCCCCCCCTTGGGTCAGGGGGGCCCCCCCACACGGCCTTTATGCTGGAGCTGAGCTGGGGGGCCTGGGGACATCTGTGCAAGAAAAGAGAAGAAAAGGTGGTCAGAACACTCAGCAAACCTACCCCTGGCCTGCAGAGATGATCCCGAGGGGCTCTTGGGAGGGGAAGGTCAGCATCCCTGGATAAAGGGCTAGAGAGGCCATTCCCTGAGCTCCTGAGAAGATGACAGCTTCAGCTCAGGCTGCCCCCTGAGCCAGCTCCTCTGCCTGCCGTGGCGCTCACCCCAATGGAGAGGCCTCAAGCCTTGTTGTGAGTTCCCTGGTTCTGCCTGATGCCTGGCCTCACTAGCTTGCAGTCCGGTCCATGCCCGCTGCACTGGCAAGGTGACTGCCACCATTCCGTGCAGCTCCTGGGCTCAGTGAGGCCCTGTGGAGAGAAGGAAAGATATCAGCAGGGTGCCTGGAGGTTTTAGTCAAGCCCCCCTTGGGTGCTGGGCTCATGGCGTGTACCCTGGGACATCCTCCTAGCTATGTTTGTCAAAAAACACTGGATGTGTTGGGCTGGGTGGGCCAGGGTG